TTTGTTTTCAACGTATTCGACGATTGCGATTAAACTGTCGCAAACATTCTCTGAACTCTAAAACACAACCGACATTGTTATACACCAAGACACTGAAACTGATTAGGTGTTCGTAATGACGGTAATTCAGTTAAAACCCAAAAGCCGAATGGTTTTCGATTTTCTGTTCCAATACAATAGGGTTGAGTCGTTCGTTCAGTTTATGCATTTCGTTTTTGTTCTACCCAATTGGAATGCAAATATTCCGAGAAATTTTCGTGGCATGATTAAGGATTGTGACGATCGAGCGTTGAGGAAGTCATGCGACCAGAACAACACATGGGTGGGTGGCTTCGATAAGGGCATCGGTTATCATCAACCGTTCGTAAATTTATTTGCATCTTTCCGACCGTCGTTTTTTGGCTGTGATCATTGGTCACTTCTTCAAAAGTTGTTCACTTTGAGAATCTTTGATAACCTCCGCAATGCGTGCATGCAGCGCCTCAGTTCATCAATGCGAATTGATGTAAAACCATTGAAATAGTTAATGAATCATCCACAAACAAACGCATTCATTTACACTAATGGATGATAGCGTTTAAATGAAACTTCGAAGGAACCCCTTGAGACTCACCTCATAACAATTCTTGACTACTTCCCGACTGCACGTTCAGCTTCAATCACTCTTATTTAGATTCCTTGAGTGCTAGTAATACCAAAGTTCTCAACCTCACGATGCTTCCCTTATTTGCATCGTTCTTGATGAAAACTGTGAGTGAATTGAACGTTTTCACAAGGTTACAAAAACGATGTATCCCAAATTGAGAAATCTCACTTCAACATTTGATTCAGAGCATATTTCCGAGCGTTCTCATTTGAGTTGCTTCAGATTGTACGTTCAGTGTTGTGAGTCTGATGAACTTCTGAAGTATTCGACGGCGCTTTACAGTGGCGTTGTTGTTCGACCGGGTGAATACTTTGAAGGTGAAGAGCAGGTGGATCCAGCCACCGAAGAACTGGTTTCATTCGATATAATTACGAATTTGAAGTTAATCCATGATCCGAACACAACGTGAGTGCATTGTTCTGTTTCATTCAAACAAAACAATCAAAAGTGCTTGTTGTTATGTTGTGATCAAATCAACGTGTGCATAATATAATGACGGTTAAGTGCGTTCATTAGAAACGATTCACTGGATCAGTCAGTATCACAACGATTGCGATAAC